GGTGAGGCCACAACATTAGTAACAAAGAAATAGAATTTCCGTGAGGATGAGGCCCAGAAATCAGGATTTTAAAAAGATTCCCAGGTGATTCTAATGTGCAGCCAAGGTTGAGAACCACTGTGTTAGCTATTTTAACTTGCTTAAATTCACCAATTTAAAGAAAAAAACTCCAAAATTGATTTCACTAGACTTCTAAGGAAAATTAAGTTCTAGCCAATTCTCCCCATGTCCCCTATATAACTTTTTTCATAATGTATTTTTATTGAATTCAGAGAGGGAGAGGGAGAGATAGAAACATCGGTGAAAGAGAATCATTGATCGGCTCCCTCCTGCACACCCCTCACTGGGGATCAAGTCTGCAACCCGTGCATGTGCCCTGACTGGGAATCGAACTGTGACTTCCTGGTTCTTAGGTCGATGCTCAACCACTGAGCCATGCTGGCCGAGCCCCCCTATATAACTTTTAAGCAGCTGTCTCATTTTTAGGAAGTCACTGAACCAATTTTACTTCTTGCTAGAAAACTTTCATAACTAAATAATACACATTTACATGTCTTTTGTACCTCCCTAAATTAACACTGCACTGCAATAAAAACAGTACTGTTAATTGTTATTTGTATTCCATTTCTAACATACTTTCAAGGCTGCACCATATACTTTTATCAACTTCCCTGCTCTGGAATTTGCATGGAACAAAGTGCTTCAATTACAGTTCTTTCAAGAATATATGACCATAGGAAAGTCACTTAACTTCTCATTCTTAAAATGAGATTGGACTAAATTCAATATAAAGTGGAATTAATAATCTACCTATACAAAAAATCTTCAATGTTACTCAAGACCTTATTTAATAACTTTGTACCCTTATTTTACATTAAAATTTTCAAGTTCCATATCCTTTCTTACCTGCTTAAGAAATTCCCACATAAAACCTTAACTCTAGTAGGAAGAGCTGGTCACTCTCCCTTCATGCTTCAAAAAATCCTGCAGTATTTACTACATTATATTGCAATTATTTAACTCTCTCCCTTAGACAGGTAGGCACAATGTGTCTCATTCATTTTCGTATTGCCTCTCTGTCCTACACCCTGCCTTCTACAGTTAATATTACATAAATATTTGTTGAACTACAAAGAAATAATTATTCTCTCTATATCACCACTAACAATGATCCAATTTCCACAATTATTTACTAGACAAACATCATCCTATATAATAAAAGCCTAATATGCAAATCGACCAAACTGCTGAATGACTGACATAACCAGTCACTATGACATGCACTGATACCAGAGGGCAGACGCTCAATGCAGGAGCTGCCCCCAGCTTGCAGGCCTCAGGCCAGCCAAGGCATGTGCCAGTGTGGAGCCACCGGATCGCCCCACCGGTCGCCTCACAGAGGGAGGCAACCTGCGGCAGCGGTGGGGGGCAGGGCCAGTGAGCGAGTGGTGCCAGGCTGGCCAATTTGGGTGCCAGTGGGGGGCCCCCAATCACTCCACTGGTCTCCCCACAGATCAGCCCTGATCGCCAGCCAGGCCTAGGGACCCTACCCGTGCACGAATTTCATGCACCGGGCCTCTAGTAAGACTATCATATGCAAAATATTAAAGTTAATAGTTGACTGAGTAAATTTATAAGGATAGCACCATCCAAAACATTAGAGAAACAAGAAATAATGAGGAAATTAGAACATTTGCTCTACCAAATACCAAAAGATAACACAAAATTACCATCGTCAGTACAATAACAAAAATAGGACAAATAAATCAATAATCTGAAAGTTAAAAAAAATCCACGCATGTGTACCTTGGAATTTATCATATAATTAAAGGAAAAGAAATGTGTAAAATTTTATCATTTTATAGTTATAAAAAGTACAGCCCCATGCCCCCTATGTAACTTTTAAGCAGCTGTCTCATGTTTAGTGAAGTCACTGAACCAATTACATAAATATTACTGCTAAATGGATTAAAGCTGCATCTCAAATCCATGATAAAAAATTAGATTTCACATAATTAAGAGTTGCTGGGAGACACCAATAGCTATTTAGGGAAAAAAATATATAAAATAATACCTGTTCCTCAAACTGAACATCAATTACATATGGGTCAAAAATACAAATATAAAAAATGAAACTAGCACGGCTGATGCGGCTCAGTGGTTGAGCACTGACCCATGAACCAAGAAGTCACCAATTTAATTCCCAGTCAGGGCACATGCCTGGGTTGCAGGCTCAATCCCCGATAGGGTGTGTGCAAAAGGCAGCTGATCAATGTTTCTCTCATAGATGTTTCTATCTCTCTACCCCTCTCCCTTCCTCTAAAATCAATAAAGATATATTAAGAAAATGAAATTATACAAGTACTAGAAGGAAATATGATCAAGTTCCTCTGTGATTAGGGAGGAAACATGCCTATGATCCAAATCCCAAACAATAGGGAAAAAGTGATATATTTAATGATAAAAAAAGAAAACTTGAGGAATCATGGAAAAGATACTCTAAATCAGCAGTTCTCAACCTGTGGGTCGCGACCCCTTTGGCGGTCGAACGACCCTTTCACAGGGGTTGCCTAAGACCATCCTGCATATCAGGTATTTACATTATGATTCATAACAGTAGCAACATTATAGTTATGAAGTGGCAATGAAAATAGTTTTATGGTTGGGTCACAACATGAGGAACTGTATTTAAAGGGCCAGAGGGTTGAGAACCACTGCGAGTCTAAACAAAAAGACAAATGAATTTGGGAAAACTTTGAAACTTATGTTTATAAAGGGTTAATAACCTAATATGTATCAGTTCTTAAAAATTTATCTAATCCTGATGCAGTGAGCCCATCAGCAAAAGGGATCAAAATACACAGACTATTAAATACATGCACAACTCAAGATGTACCCATAGTATGTTTGAAAAAACAAAGAAGACAACAACCTGATATCTTTAATATATAGTTTCTATAACCTGGCAGAGATATGGGTAGTTCAAAGAAAAAAAAAGGAAACCATTAAATATATGAAACTGTTCAACAGCACTCAAAGTAAGAGAAATACAAAATAAACTATATTAAGATTTCATTTTGTACCTATCAAAATGGCAAAAATTCACCACATGCTGATGGTGGGGTGGAAGAGAAATATGCTCTCTCATGCATTAGTAGTGGTAATATAAAAACAGTACAAACGCCCTGACCGGTTTGGCTGAGTGGATAGAGCATTGGCCTGCGGACTCAAGGGTCCCAGGTTCGATTCCGGTCAGGGCATGTACCTTGGTTGCGGGCACATCCCTAGTGGGGAGTGTGCAGGAGGCAGCTGATCGATGTTTCTCTCTCATCGATGTTTCTAACTCTCTATCCCTCTCCCTTCCTCTCTGTAAAAAATCAATAAAATATATTTAAACAAAAACAACAACAAAAAAATCAGTACAAACTCTGGAGAAAATTCCAGAAAAATCTAGCAAATTCAATATGCATTTACCATTTCACACAAAAATTCCATTTTAAGAAATCCAGCCCTGACTGGTTTGGCTCAGTGGATAGAGCGTCGGCCTACGGACTGAAGGGTCCCAGGTTCGATTCTGGTCAAGGGCATGTACCTTGGTTGCGGGTGCATCCCCAGTAGGGGGTATGCAGGAGGCAGCTGATCGATGTTTCTCTCTCATCGATGTTTTTAACTCTCTATCCCTCTCCCTTCCTCTCTGTGAAAAATCAATAAAATATATTAAAAAAAAAAAAAAGAAATCCATACCAGAGTTACTTATACAAAATATAGGGTGGGACAAAAGTAGATT